AATGAGGGGGAAAGGAGTTTTCTTGTTATGTTCTAAACAAGATGATAAATAGGGCATTCCTGAATAGGATGGCATGATGTTAAAATCACCCGCAGCTCCTTAAGCTCCATGAGGCAGGGACCACATGGTCTTCAACCTCAGTACACCCAGCAGTTAGCACAGGGACTGACATCCGTAAGACATCCACAAAAATTACTTAAACCTCATTAATAGAAGCATAAGTCAGATTCAACTTCTATTTGTCTTTCTGTGGGAAAAATTTTTTTTTTCAGAATGGAAAATGTGGAATGAACATGAGAAACAAATGAAATTACTACACTTGATAACAGCCTAAAAAAGAAAAATTTAGAGTTAATCTAACTAAGAAAGTACTTGCTAATAACTCAGAGGGCCTTAAAACTGATAGAGATGTCTTAAGAGGTGGTAAATGCCATTATTAAATTTATTAGTAATGAAATTTCCTTCATTCTTTTTCCAACATTTATAAAACCACTTTAAATTAATAATTAATATCACTGCATCAATTTTTTATAGCCCATTATATAATTATTACCACATATAGTTAAATTGGAAAATTATAAATGCCCTGTTCCTTTTGTTCCCAAAAACTATGTAAAATTTCATTAAGCACTCTTGTTGCTTCAAGCTTTTTTTGTATATGTTATGTCTAAAAAAATAATTAAAATTACAAAGTCTTCCTCTTGTATGCAGTATTCTCACTCAAGGTGCTAATATTTTTTTAAGTAAAAATTATCCGTTATCCCAATTATTTTTCTGAGATAAAGCAGGCATTTGATTAAAATGGAAACTGATGTATTAGATCACTTACAGAGTCTGTGGAAACACTAAATTATTGTTCACCTCCTACTTAATCAGGGCTTGGAGTGTGATACATGTGTAGAAGGGAGCGTGTAAAATGACAGCTTGAAAATCAACCAAATGAAGAGCATTTTGGATCTTTGTGGAGAAAAATATATCCGAGAAAAAGTACACTATGGAAGGCAGTGCTGAGGACAAGAAAACTTTTATAATTATGAACTTTATTTTTATTTACTATGCCAACATTTTCAGGAGACTTTACATCCAGTTTTTATAACTCATTTTACAAGCAAATTCTAATATACAGTATTTACTCTGGTTTTTAAAATCAGTGGGGAAAACAATACTGCAGGTATTAAAGACTGTGGTGTTTTTGTTTTTAGTTAGTAATGACTTAGAGACTTTAAATTCGTAGGGTCGGTATTATTTTGTTATGGTGACGCTCTAATGAGGAGAAAGTGGGTAGCTTTTCCCCAACACAGTTAAAATATATGTATCTTTAATTAATAGCATAGTTGTAGATTGGCACCCACCATCGTAATCATTTATCCAAGTGTATTCTTTCAAATTGCTGCAGCAGAAAAATTGAAGGGAGGTGTGGAAAGAAAATTAGAAAATATAATTCAAGCATCAGAACTAAGAAAAATAGCAAGGCCATCATCCTCAAGGAAAAACATCAGGTATTTGTATTACAGCTATAATTAATTTTCAAATGTGCGCATAGGCATGCAAACATAACCACCTGAACTAATGTATAAACACGAAAACTACTGCGTAAGAGAGGAGTAAACGGAAACTATGCTGCAGTCTTACTGAACTTCATTGCAAGCCTAGTTGGTGACTCCAAATTACATCGTCAGTGCCCAGAGACCAGGAAACCATCATGACAACTCTGCTCAGAAATGAAAAGTGCACTTCTGTGTCTGTAACAACCATCTGTAGGAAGACCAGAAGTGACAGCTATGGGGGTGGGGTGGGGGGCGGATGATCATGTTCTCTTTGACACACTGAGTAAAATACTTAAGGGTACCATGAAACATTCAAAGAACTTAGTGCTTTAATGAGTAAAGTGACATGCTGAGGATATAATTCTGTGAAAGGCTGTACTTCAAACAGCAACAATTATAGAGAAATTCATTTCAACAACAAAGCCACGCCCAAGAGGCATTTCGATATTTCAGGCACAACTCCAAGCAATTAAGCTTATTTAAAGTGCAAATCTGATACTTTCTCTCATTATTCAGATTTTTACTTGTTAAAATACTTACTAAGTTCCCTAACATCTATATAAATACAATGAACAGTAGTCTATATGCCTGAAAATATTGCACAAATTAAAATGAGACTCCAAAAGAAAAATGCTAGAGGGTCTCAGTTATTAGAAACATTCTAAATGATATAACTATATAATCCTTTGTTTAATGCCTTAAAATCATCTGCACCTGTATTGATTAACTCCTTAGGCCAAGCCTTCTCTAAAGAATTTGATATACATCCATTCCATCAACAGCCGAATGTCTAATTCTACATGCTCTATTACTTTTCTCATTCACAAATGTGAAACTTAACCAACCCCCACAAAACTTTTTCTTCAGGATTTACAATTCATATACTGCAGCCATCTTCACCGAAATCACAAGAACTCAGAAAAAAAGTGATCTGAGTTCCCGTAGAGGAGGATTTGGCACAGAGTTGACTTATAGAAGCACTAAACAGAGATCAAGCCAAATCTGAGAGTGATCCCTGATTATTCAGGTGAGTTACATCCTCACCTCATTTCTGACTTAATTACTATGGAGCAGTTTTTAAAGAAATATTCATGCAGTTTTTAAAAGCAAACTGCAGGCAAAACTTGTTTTGTACAAGCATCCTAGATTTTTTTCTCTTAAATATATTATTCTTCATAATTATATTGCTGAGCCAAGACTGAAGCTCAACAAAAGCACAGAGAAGTTAATAAACTCATGGGTTAATATTTCTGTAAATTCATCAGGGAGAAAAAATAGAGCAGGAAAAAGACTGGAATAAACAAATTGCAGGAGTCAACATTTTTATATAACAAAGATATTTCCCTCAGACTAGGGGGTCAAAAATAAATAAAAAGCTTTGAATTTTTCCATTAAAGGACTACTTGTAAATAATGTTTCACAAGAGTCTACACCAACTTCTAAATAAACCAAAACCAATTCGTCAATGTTTACTTTAGGAAAATATAGTGTGATAACATTCCATTTGCAATATATGAGATTAGTTTTCTTTCTTCTTCAAGATGACACACCACATGTACCCACTTACAGCTGCCAGCCATCACTTCTTGTTTCTATGAACAAAGAATAGCTTTGCTGATATATCTGAGTACTTTACACTAACAATATCTGGACTATGTGAAAATCTTTCTGAACTTTAGTGCTTCTCTGTTGAATGAGACTATGGTACTAGATTTGTGTTGCTCACCTGTTACCAAATCCAAGAATGGTTTTTGTATCCAGTGAATGGCAAATTCACTCGAATGGTCTTCTGGTAGGTAAGGGAAGAGTACATCAAAATGACAGTAAACAGCTCTTCCGAAATTTCCACTAAAGCACTTGCTGTTGTTTTTCTTAAAAGGGGCAATTTCACCAGTGTACATTTTTAAAATGAAATCCCTGGAACTTTGAGTGACTAACTTTTTGGTCATAATCCCTTATCAGCTGATCACAACAAAAATTGACTTTGTAAAAGGCTATCTGAAAAACATTAATTCTAATTAAAGCAGCAACAGGTGAACAGCCTAAAGATGACATGATTTGGGAGAAGAGAGGGCAAATTTACTGAACCATCTGATGAGTGGCCTGCAGCATGATTGGGTTGGTGTATATGGTTCCTTGGCGGTTCCCCAGCTACCTTCCTAGAACATTAGGATAGCTTTTAATACCTTTTAGTAAAACATAATGTCCCTCTCCAATTCTATTTTTCATCCCAAATCTACTTCTCAAGAAACTGCCAAACACACTAACATAAAAGGGAAACCTGGAAAACTCAGAAAAACAAAACTACTAAGAATTCCAGCTTTCTCAAGATAGTCTTACTTAAGTTTATAATTATTCTCAAAATATTTTAACTGTTTTGCTATAGAAAATAGTTTCAGTCCCTATTCTGTGGGGTATTTATAGCTCATCAAAAGTTTGTGCAAACATTTCAAGTCCATTATTCCAGTCTTCAGATATTAGCAGAAAGTCAATAAATATAAATATTATAATAAAGACTTAATTTAAAATATAAGCTGTGGAACCTTAAACAGCTATCATGGATCCATAAGCCTACAGGGCTCAAAACAATTACCAGCAAAACTCTAGCACCAACAACACATGTTACAAAATGAATACATCTTTAGGTACAGGCTTCAAGATGTAACCCAAGCTTTCCAAAATTTATGGAGTAGCAAAAACAAATACAAATGGGGTGGGAGGGTGTGTGCGTGTGTGTGCGTGCACGCGCGTGTGCGTGTGTACTCACACACATGCAAAACAAGATGCTAAAGCAACATATAATTGGTTTTTATATCACATGAAACATTTTTATGTTTCTTTATGTGGTAAATAAATAAATACTGAGACTAACTGGCTGATCCTAGCAAGGAAAAATAAAACTTACATAGACTTCCCATTAAAAGCCTGATCTCTTTTATTCATCACAAAGCTTTTGCATAGACCTTTTGAATACACAAAGCACTGGCCAGAATTTTACTTACAGTCTACCATCTTCAATTATCACCATATCTTCAATTAAAACAGTAACCATATTCACAGGAGGGACAAGTGAAAAAGGGTGAGGCTCTAAGAACCACATTTAATACAGACCTTAAAAGGACTAAATGAACAAAGCACTTTTCTTGCCTGCTAAGTGGAATTTTATGAACTTTCTGATGTGCAGAGGGATGGATAACATGATTAGAGCCTTCTGTAGGTCTCTGAAATGGGTAAGCAAACTTTTGTGTTTACCTGAGACAAATATGCTCAAATGCTGTGTACTTCAACCAGGATATAAAATGGAAGAGCCAAACTATTAGAAGCTTCCACATTTTAATTTTAAGATTTGCAAGCTTTCAATGAAACCTCCATCATGGTAGCAAACTGCACATAAAGCTATTACAGAACAGATTGTTTTTTTAAAAAACAAATTGGCAGGTGATGGCTGTGCACTTAATGTATCTTTGGTTTAGGAAGACGGGAGTATCGATTAGAAGCCAAACAATCCCCAGAATTCAAATTACCGTTCAGATTCTGCATGATTTCTTTTCTTCTTGTTAGAGGCCTTGGGATGCTTGTCTTGGCCTGGAAGTTTTGAGGCTCTAGTTGGGAGCTGCTTATTTGTTTTTGTCTGAAAGAGCCAGAAGGGGGACGGAGCTTAGATGCTTTTGGATTTGGATTGCTTGCAAGATTTGTTTGACTAGATGTTGGCTGAAGTTTTGATGAATTCCATGGTGTGATTATTGGTGACTTTTTGTAAGTGGGAGTCCTACTTGGAGATGATTCAGAAACTGGAGGAGGTACCAAAGAATTTGAGATGGATGGCTTAAAAAGCGGTAAGGACTTGGGCTGGGATGTGTAGCCCTCCAGTGAAGACTGATTTCTTCCAACTCTCTTAGTATGGTCTACTGTACTTGACTGGGGAAGCGTCTGAAGGGAAGTAGGTACAAATTGCATGTCACTAATTTGATTATTTGCCGAATGATAAGGCTCTTGAGCATTCGTGGTCATGTTCAAGTTTGCTTCAGAAGATGTATTCTTAGCCACATCCTCAGCGAATTGTGGGCTTGAAGAAAAAGGCCGGTCTTCCAGACCATAGCTGCTTTCTTGTTGTAAGCCATGTGTAAAGCTTTCATCCAGATGTGCAACACCCTGCTGTATGTCCTGGATTGTGCATTCACTGTGGGCCTCGATATGTTGCGGCTTTATTAGTTTTCCCTGGGCGTGGTCTGTGGGTCTGGGAAGGCTGCTGGAAGGCTGTAGTACTTGAGGCTATTAAAATTAAAAACAACATTAAGCAACAATTCCATTTTACAAATGCCACCCAGAAGTTATATAAGTTCCAATTAAGCTGTGTTGATACTTATGTTTTAATATGAAAAGTATGTGGGTTTTTTTAATAAAAAAATAAACTGCAATATTCAAGTGAATTCATGAGACACATACAAGAGTGATAATGCAAACAAAAAATGATACAGGCAGTAAACACTAAACAAGATTCGAAATCAAACAGGGGAAAAGAAAAATCTTAAAGTACTTATTTATTGTAGAAAAAAGATTTCCTGCCTTGATTCATTTTTTAAAACTTTATATGTAAGATAGCTTGATAGAATGATTTCTATAGCACTTTGATTTAATCTTCAAAAAGCACAGATAAAAACTGTGATCATTCAGAATATTACCCATTTTAAATACTTTTTTTTTTAAAAGGAAAGATGTATAACATTTTATCACACTTGGCTAGAGAAAGTATTAATTTAAAAGTATCAAAGGTGCTGTACTTCTATCAAGAGTTAAAATTACCAGCAGATAAACAAGGCTTAGATTGATTATATTCTCCCTTGATGTGAAATTCTAATTACTCAAAAATAGGTCAAAACATTTAGCTAATACTAACCTACCTTTAACATTCTTGTTGAAAAGTTTCAGAATAAAATGTTTTCACAGCTTATTTGTTCTGTCTCACTGCCATATGAGGGATCAACTAAGGTTTTGGTAAATGGAAAACAGTTACCCTGCCCAAGAGTGAACATTCATTTAAGATTTAAAATAATCAGCTTTTCTGAATAACAACTGAGAGTAAAACGAATGTGAAATTACCTGTAACTTGAACTAAAGCTGAGAAGCCTATAATAACAAAATTCTTCAGGCCAATGTGCCTCACACACACTTCTCTGGAGCTCACTGTGTGATTATATTCTATATAAATCAGAGGAAACATGCAACTTCTATTACTCTTAGGTAGTCGGTAAAGAAATATGAACCTTAAAGTTATCTTTCAATGGCCCAGATAGTAGAGTATATGGGGCAGAGCCTACTGGTCATGTCCTATTACAGGGGAGATTGTTATCAATGTATAAACACAAATACACATAATTTTCTATTAAATAATGTGGGCCGAAAATATAAAAATGTTTGCCAAAGGGCTTTGAAACACAGACTTTTTTAAAGGGTCAGCTTTTACTAATAAAATAACTTTTTTTTTGCTACACTAATCCACAAATAAATCTACGCAGTATCTCTAATTTCTCCAACAAAAGGGGCAAATCTATTTATACTGCATCATTCATGTTTTGTCACTTTTTCACCTCCTTGACCAGTACTAATTATGGCTGCTATGGCCAGGAGTCAGGCCAATTATGGCAGGGTTAAGATGACTGAGAGCAAAGTTTAACGACTTGTAGAGGGATGGCTGGCCAGGACGGTATATGGTCAACTGGCTATTCAAAAAAATAGTAAAATCAAGACAAAGACTACTCAAAATTCATATAGAGTATGTTACATTAACTCTTATTTTAGAATATTTAAAACAAATAAGCCATCTCAGTTTCTGCTTCAAGCTAAATGTTCTAAACTTTAAAGTCCAGTGGGCATTTTCACAATAAATCACCACAGAGATGAATAAACTGTCCTTCAAGAAGGAAGGTACTAAAATCACTAGGTAATGACAATCAGCTGGGATTCCCTAGAAAAAAAGGACAGTGCCAAAGTGATCATACATTTTAGAAAGATTAATAAAAATATAGAGCAGGACCATATTAAGCAAACCAAAAACTACTAAAAGGAAAAAAAGCAACCAAAGGGAAAGGTACAGCACCAAATGGTTGATTGAAATGGGGATTTACTTTCCCTTTTCCTATCTTTTCAAAACCTTCAAAAATATCAAAAGATACTCTAATCTTGAATAAAAAAAATCATAAAGCAACTTAAAGACCTTTGAAAATATAACAATTTAAAATGACTTTATTGTAATATGCCTATTGCTAGTAAGAAAAAAAGGTATCAACACGTGCTATCAGTTCAAAGCATAAAAAGGTATGATTTCCTAATTAAGTAATAAACTTATCATTAAGATAACCAAACCTCCAGAAAAGGGGCACTGTGAACTGTAGATAAATTATCCATTTGCACTGATTATAGTAGCCCCCCCTTATCTGCAGGAATATGTTCCAAAACCTCCAGTGGATGCCTGAAACCACAGATAGTAATGAACCCTATATTTACTATGTTTTTCCCTATACGTACATACCTATGATAAAGTTTAATTTATAAATTGGGCACAGTAAGAGATTAACAACAATTACTAATAATAAAAGAGAACAATTATAACAATAACTATAATAAAAGTTATGTGAATGTGGTCTCTCTCAAAATACCTTATTGTACTGTGTTCACCCTTCTTCTTATGATGTGAGATGATGAAAGGCCTACATAATGAGGTGAATGATGTAGGAGTTGTGACACAGCATTAAGACTACTATTGATCTTCTGACAATATGTCAGAAGGACAATCATCTGCTTCCAGGTGGCAGTCAACAGCAGGTAACCAAAACCACAGAAAGCAAAACCGTGGATAAGGCTGGGGGGACTACTGTCCTTTTATTACCCAACTGACTCCTGCTTATCAGAGAACTAAATGGAAGTACAGCAGGAAGATGTGCTGCATGTATTAAATGCAATAAAGCTCCATATCAAGTATTAAAGAATTAGGAAATAATCAGGTTTTAATTTTTTTATTTTTTAAAGATTTTATTTATTTATTTGAGAAAGGGAGAGAGCACACGCAGGGGGAGTGGTAGGCAGAGGCAGAGGGGGAAGCAGACTCCCCGCTGAGCAGAGAGCCTGACGGGGCTTGATCCCAGGACCTTGGGATCATGACCTGAGCCGAAGGCAGACACTCAACTGCCTGAGCCACCCAGGCGCCCCATAATCAGGTTTTTAAAAATAATAAAATTTTGAGTCTTCTCAGAGGAGTTAGGTTGAACAATTATATAAAAGATGCCTATCACTTAACTACAGTGAATAAATTAGTGGTTTCTAAGTGCTTTATAAATAATGCAGATTTTGCATTTTTATTAAAAGTTAATTTTAGTGGTGTGAGCTAATTTCCCTATCCCCAAATAAATGTCCTGTTTTATTATTTATTTGGAAACTAGTTTTGAAATCAATTCTATTACCATAAGAAAAAAGTCTCTCAAAGAAGATGAAGAAATGACTACAGTAGTGAGGACCAAGAAAATGACTTCTCCTAAAGGTGGATGACTGTGTAGAATTGGATGCCCATGAAGGACTGAATTGTCATTAGTTACCTGCTGGCGAGTTAAACAACAAGCTGCCTCTTAACCTCTAGTAAACAAAGCAAAGATGGGTTTGGATAGCTTGTTGCTTGCAGCACTATTTCCTCCAAATTCTAAGCACTCAACTGTATTAACAAAAGGCAAGATATGAACAATTCTTCCTGCCCACATTTATTACTGCTTCTATGCCCTCAGACACCTTTAGAATGAATTCCAAAGAAATAAATAAAAAAGACTCCATATTCTCACCATAATAAGACTAATAGGAAGGAACATCAAAGATCATTTTTTTTAAAGGTCTACAATATATCATGCATTGTACTAGGTATAGAAAAACAGGGAGCTGAATTACAATGCTGTTCCTATGGAACCTAGAGATCTAGCGAGGGAGATAGGTAAACAAATGACGAGACCATGTCTCAAGCATAACAACATAGGAGAACAAAAAGAAAAAATATGCCTGATTATAGAGGTCATAGAAAGCATCCAAGAATCACAAACATCTGAACTGAGTTTTAAGATGAGTTAAGAGTTTGCCAAGTAGACAAGAAGGGAAGAACATTCAGGGTAGAGCACCATTACATGCTAAGCACAAAGGCAAAAAAAGAATATGGTACGTTCTAGTAACTTTAAACTGTTAGACTGAATTTGGAGATCACAGTGTTGGTGGGAAAGCATAGGCAAAGGGCCAGCTCATAAATAAACTCATATCAGGTTAAGTGGTTCGACTTTATGCAACAGATGATGGCAGATAAATTTTAAACAGAGGAATTCTAAGATCCAATGCATATTTTACAATGTTATTTTGGTGGAATTAGTGAAGAACGTACAGGAAGGGTGATTATAAGCAGAATAGCCAGGCAGTATGCTATTGCTAATAACCCAGATGATAAATTATAAGGGTCTAAAATTAATATACTGAAAGAAAAACTGGAAAGGATTGAAAGAGATTTTTTTAATGGTGGTTAGGTAAGCAGCTGTTTGGAAGGAATTCAAGATGAGTTACAGGTTTCTTGCTTTGGAGATGGATGATGAGGTACTAATCTGTATCCAAAAAAGTTGCCCACCAGCCCATTCATTTCATAGCCTCAGCAGCCCAAAAGACTCAGAGGGCAAAAGGAATCCCACCACCTACTGGGGGGTGGGGCAGACTTCTGGAAATATCCTGTAGTCACAAGTAAGTAGAGCTTTAGTACTCCATCCTTGCAACTCACAGAATGGTTAGTTACTGAAGTTTCAAAATGTGGACACATCCCCAGATTTGAAGAACTAAGTTCTTCTAACTAGACTCAGTGATTTCATGTCTTACTTTATTTAGTTAGATACAAATACCTCAGCGCACCATTCTGAGAATTCTCAGAAACAATGGTTACAGGTATCAAGGTCAAGGGAGCCAGGGGCACACTGGGTAACTGTGCAGGGGCTTGGTAGGATCTTCAAAGATAATCTTAAATGTCTATTTTGGGCTGCTTACAAAGATAACCAGAGACGTGGGCTCCTTACAGGAGTGTACCATGCTTTATTTGTTGTTGTAGTTGGTATGCCTAGTATTTGGCACATAGTAGGGATTAAATATATATTTTCTAGATAAATTAATAAATAAATGAAATTAGTAAGTGGTATATTACAAAATTGCTTCTTTGGTAATAAATAATCAAAATGATACTTCCCTATTAGGTCAGTGATACAGCACTAATAACCAAATAAAAACAAGTTTAAAAAATAACACTGATGAAAAAGAAATCTTATAACAGAAAAAAAGTCTTCTCTAAATAAGTTTGGGGTTAGCATAATGATTAATGTTTAGAAGGGCAGCAGGAAGAATTGTAAGTTAACTAGAACATAGCACCTTCCATGACCTACTAGCTAAGCTACAAATATTTTTTACCTGAAGATCGATATTTCTGGATGAAATAAGTTGGAACACTGTCTTAACAAACATTCAACTATTTTCCATTTCTAATCCTAATAATTAAATATGATTATACATGTAAAACACGTAGCATAGGACCTCCCAGTCATCCAAAGTGCTCAATAAATGTCACCTATGATTATTAAAAGGTGTGAGAATGATGAATTCAACCCATGGTCCTTTTGTAACTGGGTTTTGAAAAAAAGGGGCAAGTTTTATAGCAGTATAATAAACTAGCTGCTATAGAATAAGAGCTTTCTAGGCTTCAAATAAGTATTTCAGTAATGTCAGTTATATCTTAAAGATTATTTATTTATTTATTTATTTATTAGAGAGTGAGCAGGAGAGAAACAGCATGAGAGGGGAGAGGGTCAGAGGGAGAAGCAGGCTCCCCGCTGAGCCGGGAGCCTGATGCGGAACTCGATCCCAGGACCCCGGATCATGACCTGAGTTGAAGGCAGTTGCTTAACCAACTGAGCCACCCAGGCGCCCCTTTGTCAGTTATATCTTAAGTGTTTTAAATCCATAGCAGGCATGTTTGATATGATACAGAAGTCAAGGTTCCTTAAGTACCTTCCTGAAGATAAAACAGAGC